CTCTCCGAGGAGGCTGGTTCCCATGCTCTCCCATGGTGCCCTGTCCTTCCTTGTCACAGCACTCATCCTCTTTTATTGAAGTGACAAATCTGTCTCAGGGAGGGTGAGCCTCCTCGTTTCCACGCTAGCTGCCCTGTGTGCAGTTCGCACATGGCCACCAGAATGAGTCTGTGTGAGTGCTCACCACATGAGCCACTCCACGGCTCCTAAACCTCCTGTTGCTTCTCTTTGCACTCAGAAAAAAAATCTGCACACCTTTCTGCAGCCTTTTAGACCTTTCGTGATAAGCCCATGATTGTCTCTTCAATATTGTATCACTCTTCTCTCACTGTGTTTACTGCTATGACCCCTTTTGGTTCCTTCAACATAGCAGGTGAAGTCCCCTCCCAGAGCGTTTGGTCCAGCTTTTTGCTCCACCTGGAAGACTCTTCCCCAGTTTGAGAACTGGTTTACCTTCTTGTTTCATTCAGCGTCTGATCTTTCCTTTATCACCCTCTCTCCCTGTTTTATTTTTCTTGTAACACTGACTCTTGGCATTATGGGAACTTTGTGCATTTGTGTATTTATTGTTTGTACCTTACTTTAACATAATCTCCATGAGGTCAAGGACTTTTCTTTGTTCGGTGTGGTGGCCTTTGGACACTGCCCAGCACCTAGGCAGCAACCGAGAGATGCTAGGTGAATGAGTCAGTACGTGTACGCTCTCAGTCACCTCGACCTGGACTCCTCGGACACCTGATTCTACTCTTATTCTCTCTGGTCTCTGCACCTGGTGAAAATTCTTCTCATCTTTTTATTTCTAATTCAAGTACAATCTCTTCGTTTTGTCCCTGTCTAAGTTCCAAATGACGTGTCATCTCTGCCTTGCTTGATCCTTCATACATAGTTTAAACTGGATAATTAAAGGGTCTTTAATGTGTATTGGAAATAAAAATTTTCATCCAAATTTTGATGATTTTAATGTATGTCGATCGACTTTTAAATAACTGTAAATGCTAGTTAGCTGTTTTGCTTTTGGTTGAAAGCCTTTGCAAAACTATAGGGAAGAAAAACCGTTGCACAAGTTTCAGAGAGAACAGAAATTTCAGTGTGCTCAAATATATACATTGTAATGGAATGGGTTCACCCTAAGTCATTAAATCACTTAAAATTTTTCAGCGAAATATTTTTTAAATGATCTTAATTCTCATGAACAAGAAGATGCACCTTGAAATTAAGCTCATATTTCAAAGTTGTGTGCTTGTCAGTGTACGGTCACACATAAATACTTCAAGTCACTCCACGGCAGTGAGTCAGTCCTTCTCTTGGAAAGCACCGGGCTTTTGTTTAGGATATTTCTGATTTGGTACCAAAGCTCGTATGCAGTTGACAGATAATTGAAACAATTTGCTGGCTCATTAAATTGTTTTTGTTTCTCTTCCCTTTCACATACCTGTGCCGCCTTCATATTAGTTTCCAGTGCTTTCCACAAAGGCTGTCATTAGTTTCTCATTACACCCACTAGGTTAGTCAGATTATTATTAACTCCATTTTACAGACTAGGAAACAGAGCCCAAGAGGATATGGAATTCTCTGAGTCCACATGCTTTGTGAAGGAAGGAGCCATGACTCTTAGTCTATTGTTTTATTTTCCCTTCTATGCAGGTGTTTTTTTTTTTTTTCTGAATTCTTATCCAGTGTATGCTTTTTATTTTATTTCGCCAATTATATAAGCTGATTTATAATTGTACAAATTTGTGATGTAGATAAACTATGTATGCATGATATGGCTCTTTTTATGCATAATACTGATTTTTTGTTTTGTTTTGTTTTAGATCTTAACAGTTGCCTGTGATGCCTGCAAAACAGTGACCCTACATGTTCCCTCCAAATTAGATGCTGAAAAATTTATTGGTAGAGGTAAGAAACTGCCAGAATATGTAATAAATCCTAATTTGGTATGGTCTTGTAAAATTAGTGTAATTTTTAGAAGGATGTCTGTACTGGAACGAGTAGTTAAAACTAATATAGTACATTTGAGTACGTTTTTTTATAATACACGTGGTGTCATTGGAATGACACCAGTATTATTCTTTACTGAAAAACATGGTTATTTAAAGTAGTTAAAATTGTTTAGTTTGAGTAATGAAATTATTACTAATATTTACATTAACTGAAGGGTATGATATATATTATAACACATGTCTATGAAATAGAGAAGTAGTATTGAAAATATTTCTTGAGTTTAGAGGTGTTTTTGGATTTTCATCCTAAAGCATTTTGGCATTTTATTGACATTTACTTCCATATATTATTTTTTTATCAATTTTTTTTCACATAACTGTAATATGATCGTAACTCAAAAAGATCAGGCCAATGAACACACAGAACATGATGACTATTTAACAACAGATTCAAAGAGTTCAGTAATAATATAATTTTATAACTGCTGATTTTAATCTCTAGGTTATGTTTAACTTACTTCATGTTCTCATGGGTTGCTCTTGGCCAATTTCAGTTAATAATGAAGAAACTTTTGGTGTGGGCTTAATGTTCAGACTGTGGCGCTCACATGCCTTTATTTCAGAACTAATCTCTCTTCTTTAAAAGGGAGTGAAGCAGATGTTAGAAGTGATGTATGTTTAATTAAGCACAACTTAATTAACTGTATGGTTTCATATGTCCTTTTAAAAATACAAAATTTCCAAGTGTCAAGGTAATTAATATGAAGTTTTTGGCTGCCCCCCACCTCAAATGCATAGATTACTGTTAAAACTATGTACTGTTCTGTTTTTACCTTACAAATGATTGCTCTGTGTATTTTCCACAGTTAACCTGAAGGAGTGCTTTAAATCTGCTAATGCAATTCATTCAAGTGATCCTGATTTCCAGATTTTAGAAGATGGTTCAGTCTACACAACAAATGCTATTCTTTTGTCCTCAGAGAAGAGAACTTTTACTATATCACTTGCCAACACAGAGAACCAAGAAGAGAAGACAATGCTTGTCTTTTAGAGCGTCAGACCAAGGTATAAAAATAAAAAGTACGAAAATGAATATAATGAACTGTTTTCTCCAGGGGTAACTAACATGTCCAGGGAAGATGTGAAATCAGAAAAAAATACGGGATAGCTTAGCTTGAAGAGGAATGAGAACCATGACACAAGTTAACAGTGTTCAAATGGAAAAGGATTGTTCCACTTAGGTTATTATAGGTTGTAATTCCTTTTTATTTGGGACATAAAAGGAGAAAGTGAGATATGGTACAGCATGAGAACGTGAGAGAAGCAGAGAAGCATTTCTTGATCATCACTGTGGAATAGGTTTCCAAGACAATAACCAACATTACTTAAGGTATTTATATTATAACCTGGGCTTGGTAGCTTCTAATTATTCAGAACTCATGTGGCATGTTAATGACTTCGGAAGGTGTCCACTTTGGGCAGCAGTATAGGACCATCACATAGTTAATTATGCTGAGATCCATGAGGCCTCCAGAGATAGGTCTCATGTATCTTAGCATACTTTTTAGTCTTAGAAAATAGATGACTATTTTAGGTTGAGGTTTGGACCCCATGCATGCATATTGCATTGTGACGCCCAAGATCAAAATGACTTCGAGTCAACCATTGGCCGTTACTCACGGCAGCTGTCTGAGAGTTGTCACCATGTTTCTCTCCTCGTTCTGGCACAGATCTCTCTGTTGGTCCCCTGGCTCTTCCTAGTTGCTGGTGAGTGGAAGATGCTTCTGCTAAATGTGGAAGAGCACCTATCTACTTTTTTTCTTTGCATATCCTCCTCCCATGTTTTTGCATGGCAATGTGGCAACAGTAAATGTTTTTTTTTTTTTCCGTTTGGCTTCTAGGCTTCCAGTTCCATCTCTCTCTCTTCCGTGTTCCCACCGAGTTATTTTCTCAAGGGGATTACTGTGATCAGTTAGGGCTCTTAATTCTTCATTGTCTTTTTGCAGTATTGATCTTAGTTTGGTTTTCAAGCACCACCGTGGTCTTAATGTCTCTCCAGCTAATCCTTGTGAGAGGGGGAAAGATGTATCAGCGCTCTAAAGCTTGAGAATAGTCATTGACTTTATTATTTTTCCCTGTCTTCTAAATTGAGGTACTAAAGAGAAGGCATTCTCAAGAAAAAGTTCTAAGACGTTCCAAGAGAAGATGGGCTCCTATTCCTTGTTCGGTGCCTGAGAATTCCTTGGGTCCTTTCCCACTTTTTCTTCAACAGGTACAATTTACTTTCCTTCCACTGTGAGAGTCTATGGATTCCATCTTTCTTTAAAATTTAGACAACGAGTATGCAGTTACTTAAAAAACATGTGTGTATGAATATATGAGTGAATAAGTATGTCTATTGTATGTTTCAATGTATGGGTATAAATATATCTCTGTATTTGCATGTAATTTTTATTTTGAAGTTTTAGCCATGCAAAGTCTATTTATAAAACTGCAAAACCCATAAAGCACTCTCAAACACCTGCTTCCTTAATGAATTTTTGTATCAGCAAGGGTATCACAGAGCCTGGAATAGTCCGGAAAACCCCCAAACATCTTCCGTAATAAAGGATGGCATTGTTGACAAAAGGTCAAATGCCATGAAGGGGAAAGACACGTACACTTTCCTGTGGCTTATTCCCAATTCCACTGCTTAAATCACACTGGATCCGCATTTTCTCCCCGCTTTCTAACTTCAGTGGAAACCCCAGCAAATCTTCTTGACCTCTTTTACTATCAGTGGCCACTCACAGTCAGGCTAGGCTTTGGGTTTCTTTTCCCTCAGTTCTGGAAGTGATGAAAGAGAGTCTTCCTTTATATCCCACCAACACATTTAATGCAGCTGAGAGAAGAGCGTATTAAAGTCGAAAAAGAAATCGTTAGAGAATAATTTGTTCTTCATCCTAGTAGATGGTCAAGCTCCTACTAGGAGGTTGAAAACAACTTGGCAAAAAGTTTCTTTTTGAGTCAAATACCAGAATACCACACTTGCCGGGAGATTATGCCATTTCCATTCTCACTCATTCCCCACGCCCCATTCAGCCCCTATAAAAAAGGAAGATGCTGACAAATAATAAAAGCTAATTAAGGAACCATTTCCCAAAGTTTTGCCCTGCAGACAGTACATTTTAAACCCAGTGTCTCAAATATTATGTTGTATATAATTTAAAAATTCAGGTTTTAAAAAATTGACAAAAGGATAATTTTTTTTCATGCTCAGAATACTTTGTTTTCTAAGAGAAGAAAAGTCCAAAACATTTGATCCATGTGAGTACATGTAGCCTTTAAAATATTCCTTGGTAATTCTGGAAATCGAAGACACTTCTGCATGGTTTTCCTCATGCCTTGCTCTTGAAATTTCTCAAGTATTAGATTCTTCTTCTGTTGCTGCTTTTTATTCATACATAATAATCAATTAAAGAGGGCAATTAAGTATTATAATAAAAAACGTCTGTGTGATTGCATAAGAATATAGATGAAAGTTTTGCTGAAATAAAATTTGTCTTTTATATATATAATATCTCTTTCTAGATTCAATCTGACACAGCACAAAACTACACCATTTACTATTCCATAAGAGGACCTGGAGTTGACCGAGAACCTCTGAATTTATTTTATGTAGAGAGAGACACTGGAAACCTGTTTTGTACCCGTCCTGTAGATCGTGAACAGTACGAATCTTTTGAGGTAGAGTCTAAAGTTTACATATTGTATGAGTAATTATTAAGTTTGACCCTAATTTGTCTCTCTTTCTCAGTTCATTTACCCTTTTCTGTGTTTGTCATCCATGCTCTGGGTGTATCTGATAGCACAGACCTGACTGGAAGCAAAAAAAATTTTACAGAATAAATAGCATTTGATTCTGTTAGATTGTTCCGGATATTTTAGTTTTACTGTTTTTTTTTCAAAGACAAAAAACCCCCACTTTGAAGAGTAGTTATTTGATTGGCAGAAAATATCTGTGAACCTCTTTAAGGTACTGAGAATGAAACCATAGGAGGTAAGTCAAGTTCAGAAGTTAAGCTCAGTACCTTTGTGACGGGAGAAAGTTCACTTGTGAGCAAGTAGGGAGTGTGGACAGTGCTTAACTAAGATTATTCAGTCTTTTCAATATCTGGGCAACTTCTCTTGGTAGAATGGGTGTTAATATGTAAGAATTTAACCTAATGTATTGATTTTCCAACAGAAACTGGTCATTTTGCTTAATCCAATTTAAATTATTTTACATCTATTTGAATTAATTATTCATCAGTTGACCAAAATGAAGAGACATGCAAACTCTGAATTAAATGTTGAGGTTTAGAATTGCTATAACATAACCTTCTAGTACCTGTGGTGGCCTGTCCTTTCGGTGATAATTTAAAAAAATTGGAACTGAAATTCATATTATAAAATCAAAAGAATAAATTGCATTTTAGACACAGTTTACAGCTGTTCATTAGTTCTATTTCTGACTCCCCCTTTTTAAATTAAAAAAGTCTTATGAAGATAATTATCTAAATATAACCATCGATGTGCCTGTAATTCTAATTCTAAAATAATAATCTCAGTTAACTGCACCTGGGGAATTTGGAATCCTAAGAATTCAAAGTTATACAAGATCTAGAAAGTTGTATTTAAAATCCATGCATCTGAAACTTTCAAACGAAATGAAACAAAATAGTTCTCAAGACTGTTTTGGGAATATAATGAAAACTGTTACACTCATGAACAATACAGCAACAGTGAGGTAACCAAATTTATCTATATTATTGTATTAGATAAATTTAAACACAAAATGCCATACTACATCAGGAAATTAACCAGCTCTGGTGGCATTAAAGTTGAGTAACAAATGGTGAAACCCACACTGCAGTGCTGAACAGTCTCCAAATGAAAGCCAAAACAAAAGCAAGTTTCAACCTTTTTTTTTTTAAGAAAAACTTTACTCTATTCACAGCTAGTTGCCTTTGCAACAACTCCAGATGGATATACTCCAGAAC